GCCTTGGCGTTTTGGCAGGACCCCTGTACACCCGAGCCAATGATCGGGACGCAGTCTCACCACTCCCTCTCCCCCCACACCCTCCCCTTACAGCCGAGTGTGCCCCAGGAGGCGGCCGCCGAGGATGGCTCGGACAATGATGGCCCGCTCGCCGGATATATCTTGGTCGACTCAACCCTTCCTTGCTCTCCCTCAGCAGCCCTCGCGCCGGCGCCAGGAGCACAAACAACAGCCGGGCAGGTTGCTCCCTCCCCCTCCCCACCCACGCAGGCTGTCGCGCCGGACGCCTCGACCTGGGTAGCACAAGGAGGGGCGGCTCTGCCCAACCCCCCTCGTCAGTCCGCCCCCAACCCTGTTCCACCCAGGTGCCTCCCGCCCGGCACAGGGCACACACCCTGTCGGCCACACGGGCGCTTCCCATAGGAACGGTGAGCGGGGTGCACCCCTCGCAAGGGGGAGCAACCCGAATCAACTCCCTCTCGGCCCTCGCCGTCTCACCCCGGCTGATCCCACTTCCCAAGCCCCACAGCTAAGCTTCGGCAAGGCGGGGGTCCCTCGGCGCCCACTCTGCTTCCCTTCCGGCCGTGGGCCCTACCTTGCCCGCCCCCGCCCCCCCTCCCTCTCCCACACATCCCACCCGCCCCTTTCCCCGGCAATCCAGCCGGAACTCCCCTCGCGCCCTTTCGTGCAGCCCCCAGGTTTCATGTCCCGCACGGCAGCGACCACGGGAGTGCCTCCCTCTTGGGCCCTCCCTTGTCACTTCCGTCTCACACACCCTCCAGCCCAGCGCTGGGCACCCACCCCTCCCACCCCCTCCATTGAGCGTCCCACCCACGCTTAACCCTTACCCTGCTGCCCAACCACCTCTCTTGCCCTGCCCCCCCACTCCGCCCGGCCCATCAGCGCGAACAGGGCGAGGCGAGGGCGGCCCCCCCATCTCACCCTCCCCCTTCCTGCCCCACACACTCCTTGCCCGTCAGTATTCAGGTGGGTCGCAGCGAGCCACCCATCCGCGATGGACGTCGACAAAATAGGAGTAGGGGACCTGCATGATGTCTCCTCCCAACCCTACATCCCCCCTTTCCGTCGCTCCGCACAGGCAGCGATGTCGGCAGACGCCCAGGGGGAAGGGGACGGGGAAGTGTCGGGGGGAGGGCGGGGCATTGCGGATGGTGCTGCCGATTCCACCACCGCCACCACCCCTCACTTTCCCCCCTGTCCCCATCTGCACCCGCCCCAGGGCAAGCCGCCATCCATGCGCAGGCTAGCCCATCGCGGCAAGCGCCATCGGCGGCCACACCCCCTCACCCTCCCAGCTGCCCCATTCTCACACTCCTCACCCACAGCAGGGGGCGGTCACACGGCAGCCGCTGATTGGACAGTTTGCCCAACCCCACACAGGTCGCCGGAAGAAGGGCAAGGGCACGGGGACACCCGGGGCAGCCCGGCGCTCGGAGCAGCCGGACACGACTCCACCCTCTGCTGGCGTGCAGCCCTTACCATCCACCACCCCTCAGGCGACCCCATCATTGCCCCCGGCCCGCCACCCACTGCCCTCCCATAACCAGGATGGCGAGCTTCGGACGGTCTCCCTCCCTCACCCCACCCAGGCCCCACTCCCTGTCACCCACCCATCCCGCCATTGGCCCCCCACCAGACGGTCGCCGCCGATGCCCCATCCGCGATGGAAATCGAACCGGAGGCGGAAGAGGTGTCGTTAGCCTCTCGCAAGCAAGCCTATATCCCCCCCCAGCGTCGGTCCCTACCACCCGCCTCTTTGTCCCCCTCCGGTCCACAACCTCCGACCCAGGTCAGGGCCCACGGTGGTTCGCCCACCACGACCAACCAGCCTGCCCTGCTCCCCCTACCCACAGGCGGACAGTCGCAGGGGCAGATGGGAGACGGAGGCGGCAGTTGCCGACCTTCTCAGGATATGGGACACGTCCGCCACCCCCTCTACGCCCGCTTGTCCGGGTCGGGTGGGGGGGGGCACCGTGGACTCTGCCCCAGACATCTCCCATGCCCCCCCTCCCCCCCGTCCACCGCCCTCACACCGGAGCGCATGGTGATCGATGACTCCGACGCGGCCCCCGACCACCCGCTCCCCTCCCCCCAGGATGCAGGGGCCGCACCTAGGCCCTCGGGCCCCCGCCGATCCCTCCCCCTCTTTCGACATCGCCGCCGCCGCTGACCCCGTCCGACCCCAGGTGGCAGGTGAGCCTCCTTCCCCGAGGGCGGGCGACTATCGACCGGACCCGGTCGTCGAGCCGGCCGCCTCCACCGCGAGCTCTGACGATACCGCCCACACCGATCACGCGGACGAGTCCACGCCAGCCCATGAGGTGAGATGTCCCACGTGTCTGAACCTCATGGCGGACGATAGAGCTCTCCGCCACCACACACCTCACTGCACCCCGAGCGATGAGGCACGCCGTGTGCAGGCCCGCCAGGAGGCCGCCTCGGTCGGCGGGTCACTCTCACGCCCGGGTTCATCTGTCCCGGTCTTTTCCGACGCGCAGTGGGCGCAGCTGGACTCTGTGGATTGGAGGGAGTATTTCTCTCCGTCCCGGACGCATGCTCGCCCGCTCCGGCGCATTCCGCCGAGGGTCCGCGGAGGCATCTCTGATGTCCTCCGCGCGATCACCGCCCGTATGGAGCAGTATCCGGATGCCGACGGGCCCCACTTCTTGTTCACGGCGGTGCCGACGCTGTTCTTAGCGCCAGCTACTCCACCAGAGCGGGGCCACACAGCTTCCATCGCGGCTCGCGTCGCGCGCTTCTTCCGAGGTGAGTGGGACTCTCTCTTCTCCGACGCGCTGCGTCGTCGCACGCCCCTGCCCACCCGCACATCACGTCGCACCCCCGTCACCACCACGTCGGGAGACGAGCGTCGGATTGCGCGTTGCCTGCGCTTGGCAGCGTGCAACGAGACATCTCGTGCGTGCGCGGCACTGGAGTCGGCCGAGGCGGCTCCAGACACGGATCGCACGGTGCATAGCCTACGGGCTAAGCACCCTAGCGCGGAGCGCCCTCTACCGGAGTGGCTCTCCACCTTCCACGAGGACGGCCTCGTGCTCTCTGCCACCCACTTGCGCCAGGCCATTTTCACTGCACCGCGGGGCTCGTCGGGGGGACCGACCGGATGGGTGGCAGAACACCTCCGTGACACCTACTTGGCATTCCCACAGACCCTACCCTCCTTGCTGTCTGTGTACCAGCTCTGGCTCGGAGGACGCTGCCCCTCAGCTGCGCGTTCTCTTTTGGCCTCGTCCACCCTTGTGGCTCTCGCGAAGCCGAACGGGGACGTGCGGCCGATCGCCATTGGAGAGGTGCTCGTGCGCGTCCTCTCCCGCGCAGTCTGCCTCCAGCTCCGCGACCAGATGGCGAGAGTGTTCCTCGCGTCACAGCAGTTCGGAGTCGGGGTCACGTGTGGCACAGAGGTCACCGTTAGAGGCGTTGTCCGCGCTCTAGCTGACCACCCAGGCTGGGTGGTTCTGCAGCTGGACGTGGCCAACGCCTTTAACTCTTTCTTTCGCGACGTCTTGTTCCAGGCACTGCATGCCAGTCCTGAGTTCAGGTGCCTCATTCCTTTCATCCGTCTTTTCTACGGCACGCCGTCCGATCTGCTCTATCGGACCGGCAGGGGAGTCACCACGATGCACTCGGAGCGCGGCACTCGGCAGGGAGACCCGCTGAGCCCGTTTCTCTACGCCCTCACGCAGCGCCTTGCCCTGGAGCCCGTCCTGGCAGGGGGTGACGTCCAGCTCTGGTCGTACGCCGACGACACCTACCTCGTGGGCCCTCCGGACAGGGTGCTGCACCACTTCACGGGGGTCGTGAGGCGCTTGGGCGGGTTGGGCCTTGCTGTCCAGCCGCACAAGTGCCTTGTCCATCACACGTCGGTGATCCTGCCTCGCGACGTGCAGGCTTTCACCGATCTGGGCATCGAGGTCGCACGCCGGGGGCTCACCGTGACGGGCGTCCCGGTTGGCACCGAGACCTTTGTGACGACCAGCCTGCGGGACCGACTGGAGAGGATGGCCGGGGTGCTGCCGTGGCTCCCGAGGCTGCGGCAGCCACAGACAGCGGCGCGCCTGCTCTCCGCGTGTGTCAGCACACGTCCGCAGTACTTGGCGCGGACAGTCCCCCCATCACCAGAGGTACGTGCCATCTTTGCAGCGTGGGACGCGCGCTTGGGAGCGACCTTCCAGCAGCTCCTGGTGCGAGGTACGTGGAGGGAGGGGGACGCGATCTGCGGGGCAGCCCTGGAGCAGGCTTTCCTCCCGATTCGCATCGGGGGCTTCGGCATCCGACGCATGGAGCGCATCGCCCCGGTGAGTTATCTCTGTTCGTGGGCGCAGTGCGCACCGATTCTCTGCTCGTTGCCGTCGGTGGGGGAGGGCTTCCGTCAGAGCTTCGCATCAGGTGAGCCCGCCCAGATCGATCCGCACATCATGATGGCTCAGGAGGCCCTGCCGGCGGACGTCCTACGCCTCATGCCGGCCTGGCCTTCTTGCGCGACAGGAGCACCGGACGGCCTTTTCAGAGAGGCCAGCAGACACATCGAGGCGCACGCTTTGGAGTCGGTACGTGCCCGTCATACTGATCCCCTGCATCTTGCCCGTTTGACATCCCTTCAGGGTCCAGGTGCGGGAGCTTGGCTTACGGCGGTACCCTACGCGGACTCCCTGCGCATTCCGGAGGCGCAGTGGCAGGTGGCTTCATGCTTTCGTCTCGGTCTCCCCATTCCCCAGTTAGTCCTGGCAGGTCAGTGCTCGTGCGGAGAGGAGATCGCCGACATGTCGGTGCCGCATCACGCGGTGAGGTGCGCGCGCTTCGCGGTCGCCACGACCATCCACGACACAGTGAAGTTCATGCTTCGTGACTTCGCAGACGAGGCCGGCTTCGCTGTCCAGGTGGAGGACACGGCGCTCATTCCGCACCTGGAGGCGGCGCGAGCTCGACTGCAGGTTTTGCACGCGGGGGAGGGGCAGGGGCAGGAGCGGGCACGACAGACAGGACGGCAGCAGCGGCGGGATCAGGAGGGGGGGAGAGGCAGGCGGGTGAGGAGGGAGAGAGGCAGGGGGCGGAGGAGGAGCAGGAGGGGCAGCAGCGGCGGTTCGGCAGGGAGGATCAGCAGCAGCAGCAGCAGCAGCAGCAGCAGCAGCCGCAGCAGCAGCAGCAGCAACAGCAGCAGGGCACGGGGGAGAGCCGGCGGGAGGAGGAGCAGCAGCAGCAGCGGCAGGGTGGCGGAGAGGGGCAGCAGCGGCGCGCGGGGGAGAGGGGCAGGTACAGCAGCCGCTGGGAGCTCAGGCAGGGCCGCAGCAGGGGCCCAGGCAGGACAGCAGCAGGGGACAGGGGACGGGCTCTTGGGCAGGGCACCGCCGAGGCGTGTGCGTTTCGCGCGCGAGGCGGTAGGAGAGGCGCACGCGGAGGGGAGGACAGGCGAGGGTGGGCTAGAGGGGTCGGTAGTAGGCGGGGGTATAGGAGGGACGGAGGGCGGGAGGGGAGGGGGGCGGGAGGGAGAGAGGAGATGGCGGAAGGGGCGGGGGTGGCAGGGGGAGTGGGGGAGGGGAGAGCGGGAGGGAGGAGAGGGAGGGTGAGAGGGGGAGTTGGGAGGGGGACCACGACGACCAGAGGAGGGACATCAGGGGACCAGACAGAGCAGCAGCCCGCGCAGCAGCAGCAGACGCCAGCCGCTCGCACAGGCCGCATAGGGGCACCCGCCCGCATTCCCGACCTCACCTGCAGGGCGCCGCGAGATGCTTTGATGGTGATTGTAGACGTCTCGGTGGCAGACCCACAGCGGGAGGGGAATGCGCAGTTCAGGCGGATGGCACCCACTCAGATTGGCGGCGCAGCAGCTAGGCGGGTGCAGGACAAGCTGCGACACTGGAGGCCGGTGTTACAGGGGTTGCAGCCGGATCCAGAGTTTTACGCCTGCGTAGTGGAGACTTTTGGGTGCCTGAGTGAGCCACTGCGGCAGTTCCTAGGGCTGTGTGCATCGCGGACAGCACGGCGGAGGAGAGATTCAGGGGCAGGGGATGACGGGTCGGCACGGATATTTGAGACGAGCCTCACTACGCGTCTCTCCGTGGCACTGCAGCGCGCGCAGGCAAATGTGATCATGCAGCATGCAGTGCGGCAGCTGGGCGGCTCCGACAATGGATGGATGCCAGCGCCTGTACCTTTGGGCGCTGGGCAGGGGAGTTGGCACCACATCACAGGGTGCTTCGAGAGTGCAGCAGATATGCAGTACATGTATGATGCATATGTGTAGAAAAACATATATAGGCCGTGCTTGAGACGCTGTGCCCGCGCTGTGCGCGTGGGCTGTTGTTTTGTTAGGTCCCAGGATGTCCCTTTGATATAGTCACACCCCCCCTCCCCTCTTCCCCTCTTCTCTTTCTCTCCTCTATCTCGCTCTCTTCTCCCCCACTCTTTCTGCTACCTTCTTCCTTCCACTATCTTCTCTTTCTTTCCTTCTCTATCTCTTCTCTCTCTCTTTTTTTCTTCTATACCTCTAAACGCTACTATGTCATAATAGCGCAACGCTCATGCCGAAAATCTCATATTTGGCTTTAGAATTGCTATATGACTTGTAACCCTCGTTATTTTTAATGAGAAAACTGCTCTCGCCCACTGGCGCTTAGCTGCGGAGTTCTGATGGGATCCGGCGTAGTAGCCAAGGTATGATCGTACCACGTGCAGTCCTGTCCGCGGTCCGCTTCCCACTCCTCCCCTGATGCAGCTCCCCTCTTTATAGTCACATCCGCGGTCGTGCCCGCAAGAGGCTCGCCATCTCGCTGGGGGCGGAATGGACGCCCATACGTAGTCGCGCTCCGTGGCGTCCTATGCAGAGAGCGGCCCTCCGCAGAGCGGCGCGACATCGCCGCCCGGGCGGTTCGGAGAAGAATCCTCCTTTCTTTTTCCCACTGCCCCCTCCCGGGCACGGGAGCAGGCAGAAATGGGTACGACACGAGGACTTCCCGGGAGGTCACCCTGCCCAGAACTGCTCTCGCCCACTGGCGCTACGCTGCGGAGTTCTGATGGGATCCGGCGTAGTAGCCAAGGTATGATCGTACCACGTGCAATCCTGTCCGCGGTCCGCTTCCCACTCCTCCCCCGAGGCAGCTCCCCTCTTTATAGTCACATCCGCGAACGTGCCCGCAAGAGGCTCGCCATCTCGCTGGGGGCGGAATGGACGCCCATACGTAGTCGCGCTCCGTGGCGTCCTATGCAGAGAGCGGCCCTCCGCAGAGCGGCGCGACATCGCCGCCCGGGCGGTTCGGAGAAGAATCCTCCTTTCTTTTTCCCACTGCCCCCTCCCGGGCACGGGAGCAGGCAGAAATGGGTACGACACGAGGACTTCCCGGGAGGTCACCCTGCCCAGTACTGCTCTCGCCCACTGGCGCTACGCTGCGGAGTTCTGATGGGATCCGGCGTAGTAGCCAAGGTATGATCGTACCACGTGCAGTCCTGTCCGCGGTCCGCTTCCCACTCCTCCCCCGAGGCAGCTCCCCTCTTTATAGTCACATCCGCGGTCGTGCCCGCAAGAGGCTCGCCATCTCGCTGGGGGCGGAATGGACGCCCATACGTAGTCGCGCTCCGTGGCGTCCTATGCAGAGAGCGGCCCTCCGCAGAGCGGCGCGACATCGCCGCCCGGGCGGTTCGGAGAAGAATCCTCCTTTCTTTTTCCCACTGCCCCCTCCCGGGCACGGGAGCAGGCAGAAATGGGTACGACACGAGGACTTCCCGGGAGGTCACCCTGCCCAGAACTGCTCTCGCCCACTGGCGCTTAGCAGGGGCTTCACCAGCGGCGCAGGGCCCTCGCCGTGGGCTACAACCCAGGGCTATGGGCGGGGCGGCCCGAGCCTTGGCGTTTTTGGCGGACCCCTGTACACCCGAGCCAATGATCGGGACGCAGTCTCACCACTCCCTCTCCCCCCACACCCTCCCCTTACAGCCGAGTGTGCCCCACGAGGCGGCCGCCGAGGATGGCTCGGACAATGATGGCCGCTCGCCGGATCTATCTTGGTCGACTCAACCCTTCCATGCTCTCCCTCATCAGCCCTCGCGCCGGCGCCAGGAGCACAAACAACAGCCGGGCAGGTTGCTCCCTCCCCCTCCCCACCCACGCAGGCTGTCGCGCCGGACGCCTCGACCTGGGTAGCACAAGGAGGGGCGGCTCTTGCCCAACCCCCCTCGTCAGTCCGCCCCCAACCCTGTTCCACCCCAGGTGCCTCCCGCCCGGCACAGGGCACACACCCTGTCGGCCACATGGGCGCTTCCCATAGGAACGGTGAGCGGGGTGCACCCCCGGCAAGGGGGAGCAACCCGAATCAACTCCCTCTCGGCCCTCGCCGTCTCACCCCGGCTGATCCCACTTCCCAAGCCCCACAGCTAAGCTTCGGGCAAGGCGGGGGTCCCTCGGCGCCCACTCTGCTTCCTTTCCAGGCCGTGGGCCCTACCTTGCCCGCGTCCCGCCCCCCCCCTCCCTCTCCCACACATCCCACCCGCCCCCTTTCCCCGGCAATCCAGCCGGAACTCCCCTCGCGCCCTTTCGTGCAGCCCCCAGGTTTCATGTCCCGCACGGCAGGCGACCACGGGAGTGCCTCCCTCTTGGGCCCTCCCTTGTCACTTCCGTCTCACACACCCTCCAGCCCAGCGCTGGGGCACCCACCCTTCCCACCCCCTCCATTGAGCGTCCCACCCACGCTTAACCCTTACCCTACTGCCCAACCACCTCTCTTGCCCTGCCCCCCCACTCCCGCCCGGCCCATCAGCGCGAACAGGGGCGAGGCGAGGGCGGCCCCCCCATCTCACCCTCCCCCTTCCTGCCCCACACACTCCTTGCCCGTCAGTATTCAGGTGGTCGCAGCGAGCCACCCATCCGCGATGGACGTCGACAAAACAGGAGTAGGGGACCTGCATGATGTCTCCTCCCAACCCTACATCCCCCCTTACCGTCGCTCCGCACAGGCAGCGATATCGGCAGACGCCCAGGGGGAAGGGGACGGGGAAGGTGTCGGGGGAGGGCGGGGCATTGCGGACGGTGCTGCCGATTCCACCACCGCCACCACCCCTCACTTTCTCCCCCTGTCCCCATCTGCACCCGCCCCAGGGCAGGCCGCCATCCATGCGCAGGCTAGCCCATCGCGGCAAGCGGCCATCGGCGGCCACACCCCCTCACCCTCCCAGCTGCCCCATTCTCACACTCCTCACCCACAGCAGGGGGCGGTCACACGGCAGCCGCTGATTGGACAGTTTGCCCAACCCCACACAGGTCGCCGGAAGAAGGGCAAGGGCACGGGGACACCCGGGGCAGCCCGGCGCTCGGAGCAGCCGGACACGACTCCACCCTCTGCTGGCGTGCAGCCCTTACCATCCACCACCCCTCAGGCGACCCCATCATTGCCCCCGGCCCGCCACCCACTGCCCTCCCATAACCAGGATGGCGAGCTTCGGACGGTCTCCCTCCCTCACCCCACCCAGGCCCCACTCCCCTGTCACCCCCCCATCCCGCCCCTGGCCCCCCACCAGACAGTCGCCGCCGATGCCCCATCCGCGATGGAAATCGAACCGGCGGTGGAAGAGGGGTCGTTAGCCTCTCGCAAGCAAGCCTATATCCCCCCCCAGCGTCGGTCCCCACCACCCGCTTCTTTGTCCCCCTCCGGTCCACAACCTCCGACCCAGGCCAGGTCCCACGGTGGTTCGCCCACCACGACCAACCAGCCTGCCCTGCTCCCCCTACCCACAGGCGGACAGTCGCAGGGGGCAGATGGGGAGACGGAGGCGGCAGTTGCCGACCTTCTCAGGATATGGGACGCGTCCGCCACCCCCTCTGCGCCCGCTTGTCCGGGTCGGGTGGGGGGGGGCACCGTGGACCCTGCTCCAGACATCTCCCATGCCCCCCCTTCCCCCCCGTCCACCGCCCTCACACCGGAGCGCATGGTGATCGATGACTCCGACGCGGCCCCCGACCACCCCCTCTGCCCAGACGCATCCACTGCTCCAGCTGCCCACACCCCAGCTCCTACGTCCCCCGGCGAGGCCACTGAGCTAGCCTGCCATCCAGACGCATGCCCCGCCCTAGCCACTGTCCCCTTGGTCGTACCATCCTCACCCACGCCCGCGCATCCCGCCGTCGCTCCTCCCCCCGGCCATTGCCTTGCCCGCCCCAGACGCACGGCCCGCCCCCCACTTGGGCCACCGACCTCGGACAGGGGCCCATCGAAGAGGCGGTCGTCGGCGCTGATAGCTCGGAGAGCACGATGCCAGTCCCCCCGCACGACACAGCGGTGCCGACAGGAGGACTAGCGGTCACGTGTCCTACCTGCCGGAGCACCTTGGTGAGCAGCCACGCTCTTGCTCTCCATGCACCCCATTGCCAGCCCGCCGATGCTCTACGCAGGGCGGAGGCCCTGCAGGATGCCACCTCTTCCCCTCCCTCATTCAGCGAGCCACGCGCCTCCGTCGTCACATTCTCGGACGTCCAGTGGTCGTCCTTGGATGCGGTCGATTGGACGGATTATTTCTCACCGAGACGCATGCATGCTCGCCCGCTCCGGCGTATCCCGCCGAGGGTTCGCGGGGGGTACGTGGATGTCCTCTGCGCGATCTTGCAGCGCATCAGCCAGCACCCCAGGGCGGGCGGGCCGACGTTTCTGCTGTTGGCCATCCCGACCCTCCTCCTCACGCCCGCTACACCACCTGCACGATCACATACGGCGGCCATCACTGCGCGCATTGCGCGCTTCCTTGGTGGAGATTGGGACGCCCTCATAGCAGAGGCGCTCCACCGCCGCACACCCCTCGCGGCATGCACGACACGCCGCGCCCGCGCCGCGACTCCGACGCCTGACGAGCGCCGCATTGCCCGTTGCCTCCGCCTGGCAGCGTGCAATGAGACGTCACGTGCTTGTGCGGCCTTGGAGTCGGCAGAGGCGGCCCCGGACGGAGATCAGACGGTGCACCGCCTACGGGCGAAGCACCCTTGCGCGGAGCGCCCCATCCCAGCATGGGTGGCCTCCTTCCGGGATGCAGCCCTGGTCCTGAGCATTGAGCATCTGCGCAGGGCCATTTTCACCGCTCCGAGGGGCTCTTCGGGAGGACCTTCGGGATGGGTGGCCGAGCACTTCCGCGACACCTTCTTGGCCTTCCCGAAGGCCCTCCCTACCTTGCTTGCTGTCTACCAGCAGTGGCTCCGGGGCGACTGCGCCCCGGCCGCACTTCCCATGCTGGCATCATCCACCCTCGTCGCGCTCTCCAAGCCGAACATGGACGTTCGGCCGATAGCCATAGGCGAGGTCCTTGCGCGCCTACTCCAGCGGGCGGCATGCCTGCAGTTGCGCGAGCCGATGGCTCGAGTCTTTCTACCATCACAGCAGTTCGGGGTCGGGGTGACCTGCGGTACTGAGCTGGTCGTTAGGGGCGTCCGTCGCGGCAGGGCGGACCACCCGGACTGGGTGGTCGTCGAGCTCGACGTGGCGAACGCCTTTAACTCGTATCACCGCGATCGCTTGTTCGAGGCACTGCGAGCGAGCTCCGAGTTTCGCTGCCTCATCCCTTTCGTTGCCCTTTTCTACGGCACGCCATCCTCGCTGTTCTTTCGGACCGGGCGAGGAGTCACCACCATCCGCTCAGAGCGAGGATCTCGTCAGGGCGACCCTCTGAGCCCATTTCTCTTTGCCCTGACACAGAGGCTGGCACTGGAGCCAGTGCTGGCGGACGGGGACGTGCAGCTGTGGTCATACGCGGATGACACGTACGTCCTGGGCACACCAGAGAGGGTGTTGCAGAGCTTCACTGCCATTCAGAGGCGCTTGGGCGAGCTGGGCCTCTCGGTCCAGCCGCACAAGTGCCTGGTCTACCCAGCGGCGTCCACACGACCGGAGGAGTTGGCAGGCTTCACCGCCCTCGGCCTCGATGTCGCGCGCCGGGGTTTGACGGTTGCGGGGGTGCCTGTCGGCACGGAGGATTTCGTCCACACGAGACTCAGGGAGCGCCTGGAGCGGATGGCCCGAGTGCTGCCGTGGCTGCCTAGGTTGCGTGACCCCCAGGTGGCTGCGCACCTGCTCTCAGCATGCGTCAGCACGCGCCCTCAGTACCTAGCGCGCACGGTCCCGCCCACACAGGCGGTGCGCTCCATCTTCGCGCGCTGGGACGATGGCCTCGGCGAGGCCTTCCAGCGGCTATTCGTCGCGGGCACCTGGAGCGGAGGAGGAGAGATACGCGGCGCGGCCTTGGACCAGGCATTTCTGCCCATTAGGCTGGGCGGATTCGGCATCCGCCGCATGGCGCGCGCGGCGCCAGCGAGCTACCTCTGCTCCTGGGCGCAGTGCGCCCCCATCCTCTGCTCCCTCCCACAGATCGGTGAGTCCTTCAGACGGGCGCTCGCGGCGGATGACCCCGCAGGGATCGATCCCCACATCGCGACGGCTTTGGCAGACCTCCCACCGTCAGTCCGGGCCTTGCTGCCACCCCTGTCCTCTTGCATCTCGAGCGCGCCGGACGGTCTGTTTTCTGAGGTGAGTCGGCACCTAGAGGCGGCGGCATTAGAGTCCGTTCGTGGACGTCACACTGACCCTTTGCATCTTGCCCGTTTGACATCCCTTCAGGGCGCAGATGCAGGCGCGTGGCTCACGGCGGTCCCTTATGCAGATCCACTGCGCATCCCGGAGGCGCAGTGGCAGGTGGCTTCATGTTTTCGCCTTGGTCTGTCTATCCCCCAGTTAGCCCTTACAGGTCATTGCTCGTGCGGACGGGAGATCGAGGACATGTCGGTGCCCCACCACGTCGTACGCTGTCAGCACTACCACGTCACCACGACCGTCCACAACGCCGTGAAGTACGTCCTCCGCGACATCGCGCGCGAGGCGGGTTTCGCGGTCAGGGTGGAGGACACGGCGCTCATCCCACACCTGGAGGAGGTGCGACGGCGCTTAACAGCCCAGCAGCAGCGGGAGGGGGCACAGGCGGGAGGGCCTACGCTGGTACAGGGACGGACTCGGACAGGACGGGGGGCACAGAGGGCCCAGGGAGGGGAGGAGGGACTGCAGGGAGGGGGGAGGGACAGCAGGGAGGGGGGAGGGACAGCAGGGAGGGGGGAGGGACAGCAGGGTGGGGGGGAGGGACAGCAAGGAGGGGGGAGGGGCAGCAGGGTGGGGGGGAGGGACACGAGGGAGGGGGGGAGCACCAGGACAGCAGGGAGTGTGGGGACTGCCGGGACGGTCGGGACAGCAGGCACGGCTGGTGCCGCAGACGCGGGGGACAGAGGCGGGAGTCCTTGGACAGGGGCCACGGCCACAGGGACAGCCCGTTTCACACGGTAGGACGGTACAGCCGCAGCAGCTGCAGCTGAGGGAGGGCCAGGGGAGGCGCCTGGGGCGAGGGAGACGGGGGGCTCAGGAAGGGGGAAGGGCGGATGGGGCTCGGGGGGAAAGGACTCAGGGTACCGCAGGAGAGGGGGGGGCAGCCCGACCACAGGGTGGTGGGGGGGAGGAGATCGAGGAGATAGTCATGGTCGAGGGAGGGGGTCAGATAGCAGGGGACCGAGCACGGGACGGGCCAGAGGCAGCTAGAGGGGCCAGAGGGGGTGTGGAGCTTGATCCCCGCCAGGGGACAGGGGCACAGGAGGGCGAGAGAGTGGCACGGGGAGGGGGGATAGCAGGGGGGACGGGGGGGGGCGAGGGAGTGGGGAGGACGGGAGGAGCGGGGCAGGTAGATGGAGAGGGTCTGGGGGAGGGGATAGGAGAGGCAGGTGGGTTGGGAGGGGTAGGGGCAAGGGAAAGGGAAGGGAGGGTGAGAGAGGAGGATGAGGGGGGGACAATGGCACAAGGAGGAGGGGGACCAGGGGACACGACTAGGCAGCAGCCCACACTGCAGCACAGCACAGCCGGACGCGCAGGCCGCGCAGGAGCACCCGCACGCATCCCCGACCTCACATGCCGCGACGCTGAGAAGGCACTCATGATTATTATAGACGTGTCGATAGCGGATCCACAGCGGGGTGGGAACGCACAGTTTCGGCGAGCGGCATCCACACAGCGGGGGGTGGCGGCGACGAGGCGGGTGCAGGAGAAGATCAGGGACTGGCGGCCGGCCTTGGTAGGGGTGCAGCCGGAGCCGATGTTCTATGCGTGCGTTGCTGAGACTTTCGGGCACTTGAGCGTGCCACTGCGAGATTTTCTGGGGCTCTGCTCACAGCGCATAGCGACGCAGCGGCGGGACGCGGGTAGTGGGGAGGAGGCATCGGCCGGATCTTTGAGTGCGCTCTCACCACGCGAGTTTCAGTGGCGCTGCAGCGTGCGCAGGCGAACATTATCACACAGCATGCAGTGCGACAGCTGGGAGAGTCGGACGATGCATGGATGCCGATACCGGTACCGCTTGGCGCAGGCAGCTGGAGCGGACATCACATCAGTGGCTGCTTTGACAGTGTGGCCGATATGCAGTACCTGTTTGATGGCTATGTGTAGATGAAAACAAGAGTAGGCTGTGCTTGAAACGCTGTGTCTGCGCTGTAGGCGCGGGTTGCTGCTTTGTCGTGTCCCTTGGACCCCTCCCTCCTTACAGTCACACCCCTCCTCTCTTCCACCTCTCTCACCTCCCCCTTTCTTTTCCCTTACTCTTATCTTTCTTGATCCTCCTACTTCTTCTATCCTTCTCATTCTTTCCCTCTCTTTCTACCTTCCCTTCTCTTCTTTTCCTCTCTACTTTCTCTTCTCTTCTTTCCCTTCTCTTCCTAACTTCCAAAAACATTACTGTGGTCGTATAGCGTAACATTCATGCCGAAATTTCCAACTTCGGTTTCATATTGGCTATATGACTTGTAACTCTCTTTGTTATTAATAAAATAACTGCTCTCGCCCACTGGCGCTTAGCTGCGGAGTTCTGATGGGATCCGGCGTAGTAGCCAAGGTATGATCGTACCACGTGCAGTCCTGTCCGCGGTCCGCTTCCCACTCCTCCCCCGAGGCAGCTCCCCTCTTTATAGTCACATCCGCGGTCGTGCCCGCAAGAGGCTCGCCATCTCGCTGGGGGCGGAATGGACGCCCATACGTAGTCGCGCTCCGTGGCGTCCTATGCAGAGAGCGGCCCTCCGCAGAGCGGCGCGACATCGCCGCCCGGGCGGTTCGGAGAAGAATCCTCCTTTCTTTTTCCCACTGCCCCCTCCCGGGCACGGGAGCAGGCAGAAATGGGTACGACACGAGGACTTCCCGGGAGGTCACCCTGCCCAGACTGCTCTCGCCCACTGGCGCTAGCTGCGGAGTTCTGATGGGATCCGGCGTAGTAGCCAAGGTATGATCGTACCACGTGCAGTCCTGTCCGCGGTCCGCTTCCCACTCCTCCCCCGATGCAGCTCCCCTCTTATAGTCACATCCGCGCGTGCCCGCAAGAGGCTCGCCATCTCGCTGGGGCGGAATGGACGCCCATACGTAGTCGCGCTCCGTGGCGTCCTATGCAGAGAGCGGCCTCCGCAGAGCGGCGCGACATCGCCGCCCGGGCGGTTCGGAGAAGAATCCTCCTTTCTTTTCCCACTGCCCCTCCCGGGCACGGGAGCAGGCAGAAATGGGTACGACACGAGGACTTCCCGGGAGGTCACCCTGCCCAGTACTGCTCTCGCCCACTGGCGCTACGCTGCGGAGTTCTGATGGGATCCGGCGTAGTAGCCAAGGTATGATCGTACCACGTGCAGTCCGTCCGCGGTCCGCTTCCACTCCTCCCCCGAGCAGCTCCCCTTTATAGTCACATCCGCGGTCGTGCCCGCAAGAGGCTCGCCATCTCGCTGGGGGCGGAATGGACGCCCATACGTAGTCGCGCTCCGTGGCGTCCTATGCAGAGAGCGGCCCTCCGCAGAGCGGCGCGACATCGCCGCCCGGGCGGTTCGGAGAAGAATCCTCCTTTCTTTTTCCCACTGCCCCCTCCCGGGCACGGGAGCAGGCAGAAATGGGTACGACACGAGGACTTCCCGGGAGGTCACCCTGCCCAGAACTGCTCTCGCCCACTGGCGCTTAGCTGCGGAGTTCTGATGGGATCCGGCGTAGTAGCCAAGGTATGATCGTACCACGTGCAGTCCTGTCCGCGGTCCGCTTCCCACTCCTCCCCCGATGCAGCTCCCCTCTTTATAGTCACATCCGCGAACGTGCCCGCAAGAGGCTCGCCATCTCGCTGGGGGCGGAATGGACGCCCATACGTAGTCGCGCTCCGTGGCGTCCTATGCAGAGAGCGGCCCTCCGCAGAGCGGCGCGACATCGCCGCCCGGGCGGTTCGGAGAAGAATCCTCCTTTCTTTTTCCCACTGCCCCCTCCCGGGCACGGGAGCAGGCAGAAATGGGTACGACACGAGGACTTCCCGGGAGGTCACCCTGCCCAGTACTGCTCTCGCCCACTGGCGCTACGCTGCGGAGTTCTGATGGGATCCGGCGTAGTAGCCAAGGTATGATCGTACCACGTGCAGTCCTGTCCGCGGTCCGCTTCCCACTCCTCCCCCGAGGCAGCTCCCCTCTTTATAGTCACATCCGCGGTCGTGCCCGCAAGAGGCTCGCCATCTCGCTGGGGGCGGAATGGACGCCCATACGTAGTCGCGCTCCGTGGCGTCCTATGCAGAGAGCGGCCCTCCGCAGAGCGGCGCGACATCGCCGCCCGGGCGGTTCGGAGAAGAATCCTCCTTTCTTTTTCCCACTGCCCCCTCCCGGGCACGGGAGCAGGCAGAAATGGGTACGACACGAGGACTTCCCGGGAGGTCACCCTGCCCAGAACTGCTCTCGCCCACTGGCGCTACGCTGCGGAGTTCTGATGGGATCCGGCGTAGTAGCCAAGGTATGATCGTACCACGTGCATCCTGTCCGCGGTCCGCTTCCCACTCCTCCCCCGAGGCAGCTCCCCTCTTTATAGTCACATCCGCGAACGTGCCCGCAAGAGGCTCGCCATCTCGCTGGGGGCGGAATGGACGCCCATACGTAGTCGCGCTCCGTGGCGTCCTATGCAGAGAGCGGCCCTCCGCAGAGCGGCGCGACATCGCCGCCCGGGCGGTTCGGAGAAGAATCCTCCTTTCTTTTTCCCACTGCCCCCTCCCGGGCACGGGAGCAGGCAGAAATGGGTACGACACGAGGACTTCCCGGGAGGTCACCCTGCCCAGTACTGCTCTCGCCCACTGGCGCTAGCTGCGGAGTTCTGATGGGATCCGGCGTAGTAGCCAAGGTATGATCGTACCACGTGCAGTCCTGTCCGCGGTCCGCTTCCCACTCCTCCCCCGAGGCAGCTCCCCTCTTTATAGTCACATCCGCGGTCGTGCCCGCAAGAGGCTCGCCATCTCGCTGGGGGCGGAATGGACGCCCATACGTAGTCGCGCTCCGTGGCGTCCTATGCAGAGAGCGGCCCTCCGCAGAGCGGCGCGACATCGCCGCCCGGGCGGTTCGGAGAAGAATCCTCCTTTCTTTTTCCCACTGCCCCCTCCCGGGCACGGGAGCAGGCAGAAATGGGTACGACACGAGGACTTCCCGGGAGGTCACCCTGCCCAGTACTGCTCTCGCCCACTGGCGCTACGCTGCGGAGTTCTGATGGGATCCGGCGTAGTAGCCAAGGTATGATCGTACCACGTGCAGTCCTGTCCGCGGTCCGCTTCCCACTCCTCCCCCGAGGCAGCTCCCCTCTTTATAGTCACATCCGCGGTCGTGCCCGCAAGAGGCTCGCCATCTCGCTGGGGGCGGAATGGACGCCCATACGTAGTCGCGCTCCGTGGCGTCCTATGCAGAGAGCGGCCCTCCGCAGAGCGGCGCGACATCGCCGCCCGGGCGGTTCGGAGAAGAATCCTCCTTTCTTTTTCCCACTGCCCCCTCCCGGGCACGGGAGCAGGCAGAAATGGGTACGACACGAGGACTTCCCGGGAGGTCACCCTGCCCAGAACTGCTCTCGCCCACTGGCGCTACGCTGCGGAGTTCTGATGGATCCGGCGTAGTAGCCAAGGTATGATCGTACCACGTGCAGTCCTGTCCGCGGTCCGCTTCCCACTCCTCCCCCGAGCAGCTCCCCTCTTTATAGTCACATCCGCGAACGTGCCCGCAAGAGGCTCGCCATCTCGCTGGGGGCGGAATGGACGCCCATACGTAGTCGCGCTCCGTGGCGTCCTATGCAGAGAGCGGCCCTCCGCAGAGCGGCGCGACATCGCCGCCCGGGCGGTTCGGAGAAGAATCCTCCTTTCTTTTTCCCACTGCCCCCTCCCGGGCACGGGAGCAGGCAGAAATGGGTACGACACGAGGACTTCCCGGGAGGTCACCCTGCCCAGTACTGCTCTCGCCCACTGGCGCTTAGCTGCGGAGTTCTGATGGGATCCGGCGTAGTAGCCAAGGTATGATCGTACCACGTGCAGTCCTGTCCGCGGTCCGCTTCCCACTCCTCCCCCGATGCAGCTCCCCTCTTTATAGTCACATCCGCGAACGTGCCCGCAAGAGGCTCGCCATCTCGCTGGGGGCGGAATGGACGCCCATACGTAGTCGCGCTCCGTGGCGTCCTATGCAGAGAGCGGCCCTCCGCAGAGCGGCGCGACATCGCCGCCCGGGCGGTTCGGAGAAGAATCCTCCTTTCTTTTTCCCACTGCCCCCTCCCGGGCACGGGAGCAGGCAGAAATGGGTACGACACGAGGACTTCCCGGGAGGTCACCCTGCCCAGTACTGCTCTCGCCCACTGGCGCTACGCTGCGGAGTTCTGATGGGATCCGGCGTAGTAGCCAAGGTATGATCGTACCACGTGCAGTCCTGTCCGCGGTCCGCTTCCCACTCCTCCCCCGAGGCAGCTCCCCTCTTTATAGTCACATCCGCGGTCGTGCCCGCAAGAGGCTCGCCATCTCGCTGGGGGCGGAATGGACGCCCATACGTAGTCGCGCTCCGTGGCGTCCTATGCAGAGAGCGGCCCTCCGCAGAGCGGCGCGACATCGCCGCCCGGGCGGTTCGGAGAAGAATCCTCCTTTCTTTTTCCCACTGCCCCCTCCCGGGCACGGGAGCAGGCAGAAATGGGTACGACACGAGGACTTCCCGGGAGGTCACCCTGCCCAGAACTGCTCTCGCCCACTGGCGCTTAGCTGCGGAGTTCTGATGGGATCCGGCGTAGTAGCCAAGGTATGATCGTACCACGTGCAGTCCTGTCCGCGGTCCGCTTCCCACTCCTCCCCCGAGGCAGCTCCCCTCTTTATAGTCACATCCGCGGTCGTGCCCGCAAGAGGCTCGCCATCTCGCTGGGGGCGGAATGGACGCCCATACGTAGTCGCGCTCCGTGGCGTCCTATGCAGAGAGCGGCCCTCCGCAGAGCGGCGCGACATCGCCGCCCGGGCGGTTCGGAGAAGAATCCTCCTTTCTTTTTCCCACTGCCCCCTCCCGGGCACGGGAGCAGGCAGAAATGGGTACGACACGAGGACTTCCCGGGAGGTCACCCTGCCCAGTACTGCTCTCGCCCACTGGCGCTTAGCTGCGGAGTTCTGATGGGATCCGGCGTAGTAGCCAAGGTATGATCGTACCACGTGCAGTCCTGTCCGCGGTCCGCTTCCCACTCCTCCCCCGAGGCAGCTCCCCTCTTTATAGTCACATCCGCGGTCGTGCCCGCAAGAGGCTCGCCATCTCGCTGGGGGCGGAATGGACGCCCATACGTAGTCGCGCTCCGTGGCGTCCTATGCAGAGAGCGGCCCTCCGCAGAGCGGCGCGACATCGCCGCCCGGGCGGTTCGG